CCGTTCTTCTCCCACCTCTAACACGGTCATCCTAACCTCGTTAACCGGCAGTACACTGTTTGTACGGTAATCGTACGCGAAGCGAGAGGAACGGATGGAGGGAAAAAGAAGGGTGGACTGCCGCCACCACCGCCTTACACGTCGGGAGGCTCTTACGCGCTGTTTAACTTATCCATTTAAAACTCAAACACGCGAAACAATTAATTAGTAATTAACGCTAGCCGGTAGTCGAAGCAATGGAATAGAGAGCAAGAGAGAGAGAGAGAGAGAGAGAGAGAGAGAGAGGGAGTAAAAGAGGAGGAGAAGGAGGAGAAGGAGAACAGGTGGACGGATGTGCAGATGGAAAGGACGTTCCTCCAAAGGATGGCCTCTCCACCTCCGAAAGAGGATATTGAATGGATAGCAAGAGGCTTCCGCGCGAGTGCAAGAAACTTTAAAGTTCGAAACTTTAGTTCTGCTGTTAGCTTCTAATTAGCAGACAAACAGAGCCGACTCTGAGGATACAGGGATCGCGTCTATCGGCGCGGCCTGCGAGGAAGATATTGTAAAATAGACGGCTATCTCTCCGCTCGCGTCTCCCGTAACTTTTATCTCTTTTAGATAGCGAACCCGTTACGGTGTATTTTTGAAGCTGGATACACCGGAAATTGCTAATTGGGGCGCATTGTCGGTGACGCGTCATTGTATTACGAGATCATTAAAAATTTGAAAACGGATGAAAAGTGTTTTCTACGTAAGGACGCAAGCGATCCTGAGAATCTGGAGACGTTAGGTAAGACTTGAACCAGAACCGCGAGACCATCCGAATAAAATCGAGGGAATTCGAAATGTACGAGTTATGAGTGCGCAAAAGACGAGCGCTGACAAAGGAGAGTTTTCCTTTCAGGCGTTTGGCTCAGATTTTGCAAGACTTCTATTTTGATTTTTCTTTTAAGTAAAGTATTAAGAGTTTTAAGTTTGGGTTTTCGTGTTCATTGCGACTGCATATAATTTACCTTTATTAGCTTCAAAATGATTTCCTTTATTTTAATTCCTCGGTGCTCTTACAAGAAATAAAGCAGCTCTTTTTGTAATATTTTGAGAGGAAGTATTCTTTACAACGTTCTTCCTTGCATTCTTTATTATTTTTTATTTTTTTTACGTTTCTTTCTGATATATTCTTCCTTTATATATTGTCATTTTTACTCTGTGCACGTTAGTCCAATCACACATCTGTCCCAAGCATCTGCTCTTCTGTATGATACAACCCCTTCGGGTGCAGAAACATCGGTAACGGACGCTCGGACAACCCCTTACGCGACCGACTCCAGAGGCGCGCGTTCCTTTTTCGTCGTCGGCGGTTCTCTTGCAGATTACCTGTCAGTCCGCGGCCGAATTAACCGCTGCCGCGCTATGAAAACGTCGGCGTCGTCGGTCTGCACCGCGCGTTTACTCACGTTTACTCACCAAACGACAAACGCACCCGCGCCGGAGGTTTTGCATGGACGACGGCAGCCTGTATCGGTTCTGAACGGCGGGCAGCGGGGGCGGTCGGGTTAGCCGGGGTGGCGAGTCGGGTCACCGTTGGTGCGAGGGTTTCAATATGCTTCGGCAGTAGTTACAGTACCCTCTCCGGACCACCGCAGATCGGTCTAGGCGGTGAGGAGGCCGAGGGCAAGGGGGGAAAGCGAGCGAGAGGAGGCGGTGGAGGAAGGAGGACTATCGTGCTGCGGTATCGGTCGCCTTGGTTATTTAGGAAACCATATCAAAGTTTGAGTTGGCTGCCTGCCGCTGCTGCGCACCCTCCTATCGGAGCCCCCGCCTCTGGACAATGAGGTCTCTTCCGGTCTCGTCGAGGTCGCCCTTGACGTTCGTTACAACGCCGAATAACGGTATCTGAAGCCACCGGAATGGCGGTGGAGCGCATGAGAAAATATGTTGCACGCCGTGGAAATTCGCCGCGAGCGCAGGTCCTCTCCACGTGAGCATTGAATTCGCAGAATGGAAACAATTTGCCTGGCAAAAGTCTCCGCATAAATCGAGCTGTCGTTTCCTAGGAACATTTAGCATTATCGAATGTACATTGAGAAATCCACGAAGAAGTTCAATGTTCTATGATCGAACACCAAAGAGACATCTTTATTTCACATGATATGAAAGAGTATGTCGGAGATGCGTTACTTCGTTGGCAACACCGTCGGTGCGACGAAGCGTTTCGTGGTGCGAGACGACTTCTGAAAACGAACTAATCCGCGGAATATGACGTTTGGGTACAGAGTGAAACGGGTTGATAAGACGAGATAAACAGACGGAAGAAAGCGCATTCTATATCGCGGTCGGCAAGTTTGCGCATTCCTCGCGGCAACGCGCCGAGGACCAATGGAAGACGACGTGTTACCGCAGTGAATTGTAGAGCGAGAAGAGAAGGCGGTTCTTCTAGTTTCCTGCCAGGTCCGCGGGTTCTTCAGGAAGGGTCTAGAGATTTAATTAAGGCAGGGCGACGGGTAGAAAGACGAGTCGCTACGTCGTGTAAACTCGAGCCCACCCGTTGCCCTCCTGCTCCCTCTTCCCTCCTTTCCTTTCTCGTCCGTGTTCCGCCGTCTTCTGTCGTCGTCTTTGAAACGAGCCAAGTCGACCTCTCCTTCTCTTCGCCATTTGAGAGGATCTCTCACGAAAACTCGTGAGAACGCTGCACACGTCTGGAGCGTAGATCTTGTTCGGCCGAGCATGTGCGTCAAAGTTCGTCAGGCTACTCGGATTTCCAGTCCCAGAAATTCCCCTCCCGAAGAGGCCCATGTCTTATTGCGACTTTCGTCAACCCCGTCACGAGAGACGGAGACCTCTCTGCAAACTTGAGACGTTTGATTAGACGACAAAGAGGTACGATACTCGGTCGCGCAGTCAATGAATGCCCGACCGAATACCACGATGTAGACACGCGAATATATCGATGGAATATATGTTCAATTTCGTCGATGCTGGAACGTGTCATCTCGTGAGAAAAATACTTATTACGCACGCATACTTATCATCACGCACGCATACCGAACTCGACCAAGCGAAGTAATTATCGGCGCAACTACACGAGGAAGAAGTAGAAAAAGTTTCTCTTCGGAAGCTTTCACTCGACCTTCTCCCGCGAGAGGAGTGTGCTTCGCGCTTGGCCGCTCTCTTCTCTCTCTCTCTCTCTCTTCATTCGAACTCCACCTCGAAGCAGCGCGCAGGCATCATCTGCCTCGCGGTTTCAGCGTCAATAATTTGCAAAGGCTGCGGGGCAGGTTCTAACCGACTGATTTCACGCATCTGGCGTTTGGTGGTTTAGTCTGGCCCGGTCCGTGCCGGCTCCAGAGAAAGAGAGAGTAGAGTGGAGAGACAGAGAGAGAGAGAAAGAGAGAGAAAGAGAAAGAGAGAGGATCGGACGAAAGACGTCGAGCAGGACGAAGGAGAAGGTGAGAGACGGTCGGCGAGAGTGAGACGAGAGAAAGCTGAAGTTAGAGGGCGAGGGGGTGGGCGGATGAAAGCAGAGGGCGAGTGCGGGCAGTCCCTGCCTCGCCGCGCCGTGGTGGTCCCGTGATCAATATTCCTTACCCCCTTTGCCTTGGCTTACCCCTCCGGCACGATACGGGTGCCCCTTACCTCGGGAAAACCCTCCTTCTACCCACACACCCGCCACCCCGTGCCCCCTTCTCCTCCTCCTTTGCCCCCGCCCCCTCAGGGGAGAACCCGGCAGAAACCCCTGAAACCCCTCTCGCACCCTCGTCTTAATTAGGAGTCTGAATCTGCGGCGGACACGCGTATAAGGGTAGGTCGGAGGAGGTCGAAAGGGGGGGGTAAAGTGTGGGTGGTCGGTTGGTTCGTAGCGGAGGCCGGGGTAAATCCGCAGACGAGCCTCGTGTCCGAGACATTATTCCCGACTTCGCCGCGTGATCGTCCGGTGGCGCGTCACGGCCGTCGGGCCACCCTTTTTATTATTCCCCGAGATAAACACATTTGCGCGTCCTTAGCCTTTCGCCCCCGCCGCCCGGGATCAACGCCGGCTCGCGTACGATCCATTTTCTGGACGGAAGAATTTTGCCGTCGACTTCACCCCCGTTTAACGCGCAATTAGCCGACTCCGCGCGAGAGCCCCTGTTCATATTTCTTGCGCTCATACAGGATTGCTCGTTACTCATTTACTCAAAAAACGAAAGAGAAAAGTTACGCTATATAAATTGTCATTACTTACAACTGTTGGAGTGCTCCTATCATCGTGTTCTTTCCATGAGTACTTATTCTCCATCAACTCCTTTGGTGATCGTTAGTGTCGTTTATTAGAACTCGAGTTTGGTAACTATTATTAATGACTTATCGATCGTTACGTTTCATTAATGTATTTTCTGCCATGCGATGTGGAAGTTGCGTTTCTGAGCGTGACCCGAGGAGTGACGTGAACCGTTTCAGAAAGGATCGAGTGAAAATTACGGATGACGTAGGTAATAGTCGCGATTGCGCTGGAATAATTAATTGTAGCCAGAGGCTCGCAGAATTTTAAGGAACTCAAAGTACGCGTACATACGCGCGGGCAGCGAGGATATTTACATGCGTGGTACATATAGGGTAGTACATAGAGGGTGGGCGGCGGTGAGGCTGAACCGAGAGGATATTGGGGTTAGGCCATTCATTAGATTATGGGAATTTGGCGGTACCCGTCGAAGGGAAAGGAGAGGAAGAGCTGGGGCTCGGCTGCGCGATCAAGCACCACCCCACGTGCATTAGCCTGCGTCACAAGGCGCGGCGAAAGGGTTGAGGATTGAGAATGCGAAGCACGAAAAGAGAGCTTTTCTTTGTGACGATTCAGGGTTGCGTTCGAAATTCTGTATATTTTTTGCTCGTCGCGTTAAACGTTACAACAGACGTGAGTAAAGATGCGTCACGCCATTTAAACCCACCTATCTGATCGCTCATCTGAATGCAAAAATCATAACTGTACGTCTGCGCGCGAATTTGTAAGAGTAATCGGCGTGTTTTCTTTGCTGTTGCAGAGCCGTCCCTCGCAAGGCGGGAGTATCCCCGCCAAATCATGAACAAGGTAAGAGATTAATCGTAAATAGCATAGAAGTAATGATAACATATAATGTCATGTCTATGCGCACCCGATTGCCGAACTTGCATTTATCCGGAAGCTCCTTTCCGCGTGAATCACTCCGTACTCTTAATAATCGGGCAAAGGAACATCGCGCTATGAGCGACGATTTGCATCTTTCATCAAGGAGACTAGCGAGTCAGTTACCAGGGAGGATCGATCTAACACCTTTAATTGGTTTTCGTGCACCGCGACTCGCATTGCGTGCTCGTATCTTTAGTTACCGTTACCGCAATGTCTGTGTGCGCCTACCGACCAGTGAAATCTTACACGCGCACCTTGCACCGTTGCGTACGAAAAATCACGTGGAACATATGAAAAGTCGCGTTACATTCTGCACACACGTTCCACTCCCCCTTTCAGACCAACGATTTTAATTAACGTTTGAACATAGTCGTGAGAAATGGCATGATAATGCAAAGCAATTGATTACTTAATATGAAACTAGTTTCGCGCGTAACTTACAAATTAATAGTCACGTTGAAACATGAGGTAATTGTCCCAATGGCCGGGCGTTTAAACGTATGTTGTCACAAAAAATACAATATACAATATTAGGAAGATGTTTAGCACATATATTTGCATTTATACGAAAACTTTGAATTTCCTTACTTAGAAAAAAATTATTAGAACCAATATATATCTGTTATAAATTAAATATTTAAATAAATAATGGGGCGACTTAATGTACCAGTGTCCGGACAGTTAAAAATGGTTATGGTCCAGTTTCCGAACGTAATTGTCCCAATGTCCGACCGCGATTAAATAATTATATGTTTGCTGGCTTGTCTAAGAGGAATTCCTCGATGAACAGCATGTAGTGCATCGTTTATTAGAGATGACCTAGCATGAGTTTCGTCCTTGCTCTTTTTCGTCTTCATATTACTTTTGTAAAAGTAAATATTTTCTTTATTAATTCCTTGAATATTTTAAATTATCATTATATATTTATGATTTTGAAATAGCTTTTTATATACTCAATGAAGTTATTAAAAATACTTTGACTTTGTAGTAATCACTATAAATATTAATCATTTATTTGTATTCTTATAAATGAAAATAGTTTGTCAATTAATAGTTTTAAGAAGTCTCACATGCAATTAAATGTCTTATAAAATATGCACAATTGTTATACTTACTACAACAATCCGTTTATGTTTGCTTGTTACAGGCGATATTAATCTCTAACAGGTGACATTAACCTCATATTTTTTGACAGCTTAGGTTTGTTCATGTGTCTGAAGATTGGGACCAGTAATAACTTTTAATGTACCAATCTCCGAACGTTTTAAAATCTCCTTTTAATAGTTATTTTTATGATAAATTCCATCAAAGTAAGTTACTTACGTCTTTTCGAAATTAAATATTCAATTATTTGCTCCCAAATATAAATAAATATTTAATTTTTATATTATTAATTAGATGCTTCCTCTTAACGAATTTGTTAACGATTGATTGATTATTTGGCTAAAGTATAGATACCTGCTCATTTTCGATTTTTATTTTTAATACGATTTTTATTTTTAATACAAAAATTTCAAGTTGAATTAATTGTTTTCCAAATACTTGTAAAATGTTATAGGTTTTTATTATAGTCATTATTAATTTTATTTTTTACTGTTAAAATAAACAATCAATATTTTTTTTCAAAGTGGTCGGACACTGGGACATGTCCGGCCATTGGGACGTTTACCTTATTGGATACTGGTTCTTTCCATTTCATAGGCATTCCCCTCAAAGGTAACGTTACAAAATCTCTCGAAAATACTTGTCACGTCGAGAGAGTCGTTTACATCGACGTGTTAGTTACCGGTACCTACTTACAATGTACATGTATAACTTGAGCCTCATTTGTAGGCCCTTTATGCGCCGTCTACCTTTCCTCATTATGCATTGCACATGAGAAAACTTGCTTGGAATCTCTCTTGCTCTCTCTCGCTTGCTCACTTTCTCTCTCTCTCTCTCTTTCTTTTCTCTCTCTCTCTCTCTCTCTCTCTCTTCATCCTCCACTCCTTCTCACTCTTCTTTCTCTTTCACTCTGTCGTACTGTTCCCCCTACGCTACCTCCGTTCCGGGGTGCCGAGCTACCACCTACCACCTACTCTCTCCGTCTCTCCCGCACATCGTTGCCCTGCCTCGTACCTTGGCTTCTTTATAAACTTTTAATGACGGCAAAGCCTAATCGAGAGAACGAACGAGCATACCCGACCTCGCGGAACTACTCGGGAAAATCAACGTTGGATCTCGATGTTCGATACTCAACCAGCCGACCGTCACTGCAAAAAGACGTTCGCGTAGTCTGCGATGATGGCGCGGCGCCGCTCGCTAATTATTATTGATTCATTTATCAATATTGCCGCGGGGGAGTAAAGGCCAGGTTTTTGGGAAACGCGAGCGCGATGTAATCACGACAATATTCGAGTAGTCCAACGACTTCCGTGATGTTAGCGCGTTTCTTACTTCGTGATGTACACGAAGAAAAAAGTCTCCTTGAATCAAGATAACAATGAACGAGTCAGACGCGTTTTGGTTGGAGGAGGCAGAATTTATGGTTCTTAGAACCGAATTTGCTTCGTAAAAAAGAAATTCTGTTTCCTTCAACGATGCGATACGATGGAATATAGCAAGAGAGATCCAGAGGGAAAGAAAAAAGAAACAAGAATCCGATGCCTCATTATCGGTAGTCGCGATACAGTGTTGCGTAAAATATACCGTGATAAGTGCGGGCGAGGAAGTCGAGGCTCGCGCGGAGGTGCTTTCGATTTGCAACAAATCATTCAGCGTTTACACCCGGCTGCCCGTCCAGTTGAATTAAACTTCCACCGAGAACTTCGTTCCCCGTTCACCGGCTCGGAGGCATACATATACACCGGGTATAGCTAACGGTCCGTACCTGCGAACTGCTTCCCGAAGTTCGCTCACAGTGCCTTCGTGCGAAAGCAGTTAGCTGTTTGACGTAGCGCTATGCTTGTTACGGACATGTCGAAATTAACGTGCCTACGCACGATGTATGCGAGTCTCGAGTCAAACTAAAGCGATACGCATTCGGAAGTTTGATATTTTTGCGTACTCGCGCTATGGATAACACGCGACGTCGATGATACTCAAAATTAGTATACTAATTAGGATACCGTTCTAGAATCACGATATAAATATAGCATGTAAATATAGCATGTTCGTAACTTGTTGCGTCTTTTTTGAGTGAGATTCTACTCTAAAAAATTGATGGGGTGCTGTCAGAAAGTTCATTATAACTTTACTGAAGATTCGTCAAGAGCACACGGAAAAAAAGATACGGTGTACAAAATCAGAAATACTTGTAAGCATGGCATTACTCTAGTTATCTTCGCGTGATGATGATGTGTGATTGATATGACTGAGTTACTTCAATTGCATCAATGTAGTTGACCTGCTCGTGGCAATCAGAAATTGATTGGGATGACATTTACCATGGGTACAATCTGTTTGAAGCGACCAAATATCGTCACTGCAACTCAGCAATTGTTCCGTGTTACTGCAGCAAATACATTATTAGTTGTTCCTATTTTACTATCAAACCGCTTGGCACAAGCGGATTTATGTTTGGTTCAACCGAAATACTGTTTTTCCCGTGTAGTGACGCATTTGCAGTGTCGGTCGCGGAACGCACCGACTTTTTTACGCATTATCGCCAGCTCGTAAACTTACTCGTACACGCAACAGCCTTTTCGCTTACCCTCGGGAAAGGGAACAACGACACAAAGCCGTAACGTTCGACTCCTAAAGCACGATTAAACTAATCCTTACTTATTTGTTCCGTACCGCTCACTGTGTATACGTCCCGCCGCTCCCAAGTATATCTTCTGATTGTTGCTTACGGTTTCTTTGGGGACGCCCCCACAAAAATTTGGCGAGCCCGAAGTTTCTCTCGAATCGCTTTTACGACTTTGTCGTCGTAATTTGCTTCCCAGGCAGATTACAAGCAGCGGATTTTTAATGCTGAAACGGGATTTCTCGCAGAAGAAGCGGGGAACTATATCTCCGACGAATCCCCGGCTTTCGCGAGTCTCATTATCGCGAGCGCTACTCCACGAGGTGAACGTATTCGCGGCTTCCTTTCCGGCGGCGTTTAAAGGAGGTACCGGTGTCGGAGTGTATACCGTGCGCCATTTAGCGGCGGCACTCTTTCATAAAGGACCTTAATAAAAATCCCAATCTAAACAAGCTTAATTTACGTCCGCCACATAATTACCTACCCCGAGGCACGACTTCCCTCGCTCACGTCGCGCCCTTCCTCCTTCTCGTCCTCGTCCTCCCGCGCCGCGAATCACCTCCGGCTCGCTCCGTTCCAAGAGGAAAGGAGGTGGAACGGGAGCGAAGGAGGCGCGCACGTCGAGAGCGCACTGAAAAATCTAAGAGGCTTAAAGCATTAAAAGGGTTATATAACATTCATTACCAGCGGGTCAGCCTTTGTGAAATTTCCCTTGGAAGCGCCGCCGCTCGGCGGACACGGCCTTCTCCCGCCCCCGCTGCTTCCCCCTCTTTGGCCCCTTTTCCTCCTTCTCGCTCCCCACCCCTCTTCGTCGATTCTTCTCTCTCTCCTCCCGACTCCGCACTCTCGCCCACGCAACCGAGTCTCCGCCGTCTTCATCTCGCCGCGTGTCGCGCTCTCGCTCTTCCGCAGCATCCGGCGTCCCTCGTCTCTGGGGGTGCAGAGTAGTCACGTGACCGCGCCATCGTCCGGCACTAGGGGCGGCGGTGGCGGAAAGTGGCGGAGAAAGGAGAAGAGAGGAGGGTCCGCCTCTGATGAAGATGTCGCACACGCCGGGGACTCCGGCGAGATTACTCGGGTTAGAACCTGCGGACCCTGGTCAGGGCACATGCTAATTGCTTTATTTGACATCAAGAAATAATGTACTGCTGTTCCACCGTCGCCACCGTCGCCGTGCGTGCGGGAACCCCGCGAG